TTGCCCGACAGCTTCTGCAGGTACCCGCAGAGCTTCGGGGCTCCGGGGCCGGCCTGCTCTCCCGACGGGCCGCCGGGCCCCGCGCCCTCCCCGCCGGCCGCCCCCGGGCCCTCTTCCCCCTCCGAGCCCGCCGCCGGCATCCCCTCGGCACCGCCGCCGCCTCGCCCGCCGCGCCGGAGCGGGCCCGACCGCGCCGCCTCACGGGACTTGTAGTGCGGCAGCTGCCGCCCGGCCCGGCCCGGCGCGCCCCGCCCGCGGGCAGAGCAGGAGGCCCGGGGCCGCCCCGCCCCGGCTGCCGAGCACGGTCCCGCTGCCCGCCGCGGGGTCCCGGCCGCCGTGCAGCCCTGTTCCGGGACAGCGGGCCGGTGCTGACGTGGAAGCCACCACCCCAACACACCCAGCTGCCGGCAGCGCTGCTCCCCGGGAGCCGGCCCTCGCCCCTGCTGCCGGGCTCCGATACTTGTGCAACCCCATCAGAAACGATTTCGCCCTGTTCTAGCCCCCGGTCAGATTAAAACCCTTTTCCTGCAACGGACTACTCAACAGTAGCCTCCCTGTGCGAGCCTCTCTGCCTCAGCACCTTGTCCAGCACCAACAGAGTGCATAGGGCACACGGTGCCTTCACTGTCTGGTGGTCGGTGTTGCTTACCACCCCCTTGCTCCTCTGCTTGGCGGTGGGCACTTAAAAATCATTTCCAAATCATTATTTATGGGGAAAAGTATGGAACATGCAGGCAGCAATAGGTAAAAAGGTGCAGCTTACAGAGTTCAGGCGTATGAATGGCTACAGGGCAAACTGTGTTTCAGGATCTAGAGTGTTAATAACAGAGAACTATAATAGCAAACTTCACTGTGAAGAGATCAAACGGCCACACGGGGCTACACATAATTTCTCTTTGTGTTTGGAAACTCTTATCTGCCTATTTCCATCAAACATTCCTATTGCTCTGAGTACAAATAGACGTAACAGTCTGATGTGGCATAATCATCCAAAAATGGGGGGACACAGTTCCACATTTAATGGCATTCAGCTTTTCATTCTCACCCTTAAGTAGAGCACGAAAGGTTTGCTGTCAAAAGAGTTGTTGGAGCTGAGATTTGCAGTGGCATATTTATTAGGATTATGCTATTTATGAACTAGGTTCATCGACTGAATTCTGACAATTTGAAAGTTCAGTTTGTCCAGAAATCCTAAACTCCCAGCTCTTCACTCACTTTGTCCTCATTTTTAAGTGCCTTGATGAATTCCTTAATGAAAAGGAACTGTCTCATCTGCCAAACAATTTTCATTCTATGCTGAAGGACGTAAAGGATATAAAGCACCTGAGTATTCAGCATGGCTGTCCATGGGTTTCACTGCGGTGTTGACATAAGGGATTGCAGAACATTTCGAGTCCTCCTCTCCGGATGCCACCTACTGATAAGAAATGTCTTGAGTGAGCAAACAGCAGTGTCCAGTTAGCAAAGACACTTGGGTAACTTGTTGTAGAAGCTGGGGGGGGGGAAGGAAGTTCTCTCCCCACTTAACTCACAGGACAGGTTAGATGTTGCAGACTGAGGCTAGACTTTTTGTTTCTCTTAAGACTAAAATGACTGATTCTGCTCCGTGCAAAGTGAACACCCTGTTAGTAAATGTGGAAAGTAAGAACAGTTGATCCTGTTTAAACAACAGGTCAGTAAGTTTTCTTCCATATGTACTGCTCAGTATTTCCTTCCCCAAATACAAAGTGGTGCTGGTCTTCTGGTAGCATCTTTGTTGGCAAGTGGCATTTGCCAGAACATGAGTTATACAGAGGAAACACTGATTCTCTTTAGAAGCTGCCAGTTTCTTATCTTGAGTCATGCAGACAAGTTTAAGTGTCCCAGCACTTATCTCTGATCTGCTACATTATCTCATCAGTTTAGTGAAGCATGGCCTTGTTCTTTGCCTGCTGAGCACCCATGACTCCTCCTCGCTATCAGTAATTACATCTTGCAGCAAATCACAGAATCAGTTTCTAAATCCTCAAAACTTTTGCTGTCAGGACTTCACTTTAATTTTCTGCCCAGCTTCCTTACAATACTCAAAGCAGGAGAATCCCCTCATTTCACAGTTGATTCATGTAAACAGAAAGTTCCCCTTCTTAGAAAATACATTCCTTATTTCATGCATGCCCTTTCTTTCACAAACAGATCCAGATGTGGAAAGGGAAATAACAGCAACTTATTTCTAAGTGAGATCATAGCTCCAAAATTAGAATGGATGAGAGCATACACTGCTTCCTTGCACAAAACAGAAAGTAAAAATTACTTTGCCTCTTGTCTGATATCTTCTGATAGAAGATGAAACCCAGAATCTTCCAGAGCTCACACTAAATATTTCCTGGTTCTTGCTTTCCAGAACAAGGGAACTACAGACAACTGTCCCCCTCAAACCCTTTCCCCACACAGTGTCAGTGCAAACCTGCATGCTGGGATAGAGGTTAAATGGTTACTTTTGTTCCATTTTAACAAATACGCTTGCACAATTTTATCCCTGTCACTGCCAAGATAAATACTGGCATACTGCTATAGCCTATGTATAGTGCTTGTACACAGTATGGCAATACATTATTTTGAAAAGTGATTGGTTTTGGCCTACTGTTATTTAAATTCTTTGAAGTTCAGGAACCAAAGGTTTTCCAAAGCTTTTTTGTTTTCTTTACCAATGGAGACAGACAGCCAAAAACCTTCTCCGAGTGACTGTTTCGGATGCAGTCTGCCATGTCATTCTCACTCTGTATTCCCCTGCCTGTCACCACTGTGTCCACAAGGAACATCTTATAATTACATTGTCAGACGAAATTCTTTCCTTATATGCAAACAAGTCAGCCAAGGAATTACATGGTTTGCGTGTTTTAACTGGGGGCAATGTTTCATACAGCTTTCATTCTCCAGTATTACTCTTTAAAACACTAGATGGTGCTCTCCTTATTCACATTTGCCGTCTGTGTTCTCTCAAAATGGAAAAGATACAAACGTTGAATAAGCAGGGAAGCTTATTTGTAGTTTCTAATTCAGTATCAGGAAGACCTAATTTAACTTTGGTTAACTGTCTCATATAAAAGCAGCTGAATATACTACATTAATTGCATTGGTTTTACTTTCTGTTGCGCTGGCTCTTATCAAGAACTCTTCACCATGAAAAAGCAACAGCTACACAATTCAGTGAATGGCAGCATTGATTTCTGGTAACACATCTGTGATCCGACTTGTAAAGATATCGAAGCAAGTTGGTAGCCATGTAGAAGAGAGAGAGTCAAATTAGACCCCTTATGAATAGAAAAGCAGGAACTACTTAACTGCAGCAGCAAACTGGGCAATCCGTATGCACAGAATCATTGGCTTGTCAGCATTCATGTAGATCCAAGCTGGCTAGAGAATGGCTATAGAGCTTGATAGGAATGCTGAAGAGGATAAGCAGAAGGATTTAAGAGTACTGTTGTAGAGATTAAAAATTTAATGGGCAAGAGATGTAAACACAGATAGGGACAATATTACTAAACCACAATTATTTCAGCTGCTTACACTGTAACTTATTTCCATATGCACACTGGATTCCCAATGGAGAACCTAAGAATATGTACATATAGTGGGGATTTACAGAAGCATCCAGTAAACAGGAAGATCAGAGGAGATCATAGATCAGACTTTAACAAAAATCTTCACATAATCCTTTTTTTGTGTAATTCTTTACATAGAAGCATTACGTCTAACAGGAATCAGGCAAGATCCACTGGGATAGAATGGATCACAAAAGTTTTATATCCACTATTTCATAGAGTGAGAAATAATTTAGCGAAGGCTGTTTAAGATTACCTTTATTCCCTGTGTAGCAGCTTAAGTGATGCTGGGCTAGAGTTCAAGGATGAACCCCGAACATTCACTGGAGGGATGCTCAGATTATCTGAAAAGATAATCAGTCAGATTTTCGTAGAATAGGGAAAAAGATGTTGAAGAGTCATCCTGCAAAGTAAGAGCCAAGAGAGAAAGCAAAAGAGGTGAGTACAATTAGTTTTGAAGTCCGTAATACATAAATGCTCCTGTGGTCAGAAATCCACCACTGCAGTATCTAAATGGAAGAAGGGGATTTTTTTGGGATCAGATGGCCCAAACAGAGAGCTGGGCTAGTAAACAGGAAGACAAGTTATCCTGGAGCTTCTGGGATTCCTTGCCTTGTTCTGTGTAAGTGGTGATACTCTGCCCAGAGTACTACCTCATAACAGCATTGCAAAGTGTATAAGGGAAGTTTCCATTCACCCCCTTTCAAGAAATAAAATCCTCTAGTAAAGGGTAAAAGATCCCATTGGTCAAATGGGATCAAAAAAAACCTGAAGACAGTAAACTGAAAGACACAGAATCTATAAGTGAAATAATCTTATCTAAAGCCCGGAAGATTTAGCCAGACTCTTTGATCAGGAATCCAGGCTACATTCATCACCAAAAAAAAAAAAAAGATTTTGCAGGAAATATCTCTTGCTATTTGTTTCTGCTCAAGACAAACATGACCAGAGCAGCTTTTCCTGTGGTTTTCTGTTCTGGAACTTCAGGCCTTGGCATTGAATAAAGATAGGAAGCACATGGAAAACTGAGGAAATATAGGTTCAAGAATATGTCACAACATTCAAATCTGGAGCCAAACTAACACCAAGTCATTTCTAACTCAGAGAGATAACAAATAATAGTGCCATCTAAGAAAACATGAGGAGAAAATGTTCTTATCACATCCAGACAGCTGCTCTCCCGCACCAATACATGCTAACAATATATGCCAAATTTGCAATTACATTTAACCACTAGGCTTACCTGGAAGTAACACACACTTGTCCTGATCCTGTTTTTTAATGTATTCCCTTTCTTGTATTGATCCACAGGTTGTTTTCTGCAAAAGATCCAAACAGTAATATTTAGCATATGATATGACTGTTCCTATGGGGATAGGACTGTTCCTATGGGATTTGCTCTTAGGCATTAAAATTTACCATGTTTCTTGTCTCTTGTTCCACATATATGTCAACCAGTGACTTTTATAAAAATGTTGTTTAGCTTTTATTGATTATATCAGTTATAATTCATAACCTCCAAGCAAATGGTGTTGCTGGGAAAAGTGTGACAATCAGTGTCTTCTGAGAAGGTGTAACTGGCTTTGAATCAAAGCAGCAGGAATTTTTCCAGCAGTGTTATTTGGTTTTAATATACTCAGCCTTCCAAAGAGCAACTCCCTGTAGCCACTACCAGGCATGACCTGTAGAGAAAAGGTGTACATAGATGTCAGTCAGTATCACTGAAAACAAATGAGAACATACAGATAAAGACAGCTGTTAAGTATCATGTCACACGTTCCTGCCTCTCTTCCAATTGCATGGTATGGAAATCCTAATGCACAATATACAAGCTATTCTCAACTTGCAAACCAGATCCATAGCAATAAGGATTTATCCTCAACATTTTCTGCTTTAGTATTTCTTGTGGTTTGCGTTTTGTTGGTAGGATTTCAATTCAAAACAGCAAGTCATGCATCTCATTCAACTTATTTCATGAATTCAAGAAGAAAAAGCCAGCAACACTACCACAGCATCAGCATTAGCAGAACTATTAAAAGAAGGATGATATTAAGTGAAAAGCAGAAGATTAGATTAAGTGAAAAGCAAATCCCATTCACAAGAAGAATCAGCTCTCAATCTTGATCATAAATTATCACCACAGTTGTCTTTTCACACTGTCCCTGTAATGGATTTCTAAGCTAAAAAAGTGTTTAGAAACTGGCTGCCTCAGCAGTCACAGAAGTGATTGAAGGCTCTACCAGGGGGCAGAATAAATCGGTAGATGACCAGGGAAGTGTCCTTTACTCTCTTTCCTTCTGCATGCACTTCATTTACCCCTTTTTTAACGGGACATGAAAAGGAGATTAATGAGAATCAGAGGCTGCAGAGAATCATTTTTATTTGTAAGTTATTAGGTTCAATAGCAGGAGATTAGCCATCAATTAAAAAAAAAAATCTACCTGCTTTGCATCTTAAGGTAAATCGGATATGGCAATCCAATGTAGGTAGGATTCTAACCCTGCTTCCTGGGGTTTCATTACAGGTCCACAATTACCTCAGTTTCTTCTTACTAAGTCCAGATTTAGGTTTTTCTAACATAATAGGCTTCATTTTCCCTGCACTAGTATTCTCAAGCTTAATACAACAGAGGAATGTTGTATTAGTACTAAGTGTTCTACCAGTTCCTTGCTGAAAATCAGCAAAAATTAAGAAATAATGAGCATGTACCGTGAATAGGTCTCTAACTGATTTGCTTTTCTAACAAAGCTATACTTTGAGTACACTGAATACCATGGACTGTATTTCTACAGCTGTGTGACCAAAATAAGCCCCAAACTTCTTGGCAAACCTGAGAGAGCTGGAGCCAAACTTACTGCACTGCATCAGTCCTCTGACTAGCATATAATGCACAAGAGAGACTCCGTGGGTGAACCTTCAAATGATAAACTGACATCTTAAGGGATATAATAAATCTCATGTTTCTTCCCAGGAGGAGTTTGGTCAAAATATGTAGATACTGTTCAAAATATTTACTTTGGCTTTACCAGACTTCCTTTCATCAGCTGATTACGCATCATGTCAAGGGCAGGGGTATTTAGTGGTAAGCCTGCAGCCTGTTCGTGTACAAAATGTACTCATTTCAAGCAAGCAGATGAGAGGGAATGTTATCCGAGTTCACTGTACAGTTGTACAGAAAATAACAATACAGTGCCAACTCAGATGCCTGTCTTCTTTGTGATACCTCAAATATTCTTTGTTTAGATCAGCAAGAACATTCGAACAAAACTTGTGAGGCACAGATTAAATTATTAAGGTGGGTTTTTTTCCATTTTTCAGTAGTCTCAGATTAACTATTCATGTTTTAATAAAGTCATCAAAATCAAAGAGATATACTAGAGATTGTGGTGCTGTTTAACACAAGTAGTATGGTACTGCATCCCCAGTTCAAAGTGCTAGAAGGTCTGGTGTCTGCCTCAAAACAGCAATTTAACCTGGCATGATTTAGCTAACTGCACACTCAAAGAGGAACGTGAGGGTATATGAAAGCCTATATCTTTGTTGAGAAATGGATCCGCTTCATTCAGACTGTTCAGCAAATATGCCAATGTTTGCTATCCCAAAGTGCTCCTTGTGCCTGCTGTTCACTCACCGCTGACAGGCACACTCCTGGCATCAGCTCACTGTATGATGGCAAAGGTTCCTCTCTCTGTTGTCCAGAACATGGCAAGACCAAAGCTTTGTTTCACAAGCTGCTCAGAAAATCTTCACTTTCCCCTTTCTACATCTAAAGGCTTCTGGTGCACAAGATTTGCACCTGGAAACTGCTTTATTTCTGAGAATACACCCATTAATTAACCTAGTCACGTAAGCAGAGCAAGTGCAGTCTTTCAGTTTCAAGTTCTTCCTGAGGGAACTCTCTGAACCTACATGGTTTTGTATGCAGAACCTTATATCAGCATGAAAACAAAAGGCGCACGACCATTTTCTGAAAACCAAAAAGACCATTTTGGTTAAAATCCCAATATACTTTTTCCTCTCGGTGTCTAGTAGGCCATAATGACAAAGTTGAACAGATTACTAAATAGATCTGTTCCATCCTATTGGGGAAGATGGAAGGGGGAAGCCCAGGTGAACATCAATTTATTTGTAAGTACCACTGAAGTAACCCTGAAGCTTAGATAACTAAAATGACAAGACCAATGATCAGCCTCTGGGGTGACATGAGGAGCAGCTCAGAACCACAAGGGATGAAAGGCCTGTTAAAAAGCTGAATCTGACTTCTAGAAAGAAACTGGGCAGATGAATACTTCCTCAGACTGAACTGAGAACCATTTACATCAAGAAAACAGACACCTGATACCTGCTTTCTCACAGAGCTTTACATAAAGGACCAGACACCCTTCAAGGATCAGCTACCATTTCCTACAGTGTGTTAAGCTTTAGCTGTGTGGAACTGCCCAAGCTGTGGCTGAGCCCACAGCAATGAGTTGCCTTGCTCCAGGCAGGCTGCCACAGCCACTGATTTCACTTGAGAAAAGCTGTAGGAACACCAAGGAGGTGGTTAGGCCGGTGCCCATTACCCTCCTTAGCAGGGTTAAAACATGTTGGCTGACATCTTCAGGCACACGCAGCCTCAACATTCATGTGCACAGAACAGAAGGACAGTGTACAAATCATGGTTTGTATTGCAGGGCTTTTGAGGATGGGATGCACTCAAAAACATGCATGGCACATTAATCATGCCTGTGTAAAACATATGACTTGCATCGTGGATCTATGTACAAACACATTGGGATCTGAACAAATCTTAACTGAGAAAGAACAGGGGGAACAAGTGAGTTACATCACAACAGCAGAGCACACAAAGGCTGAGGCACCTGGCTGGTCATGGGTCTTGCAAATGAGACAATCAAAAGAACAGGGCAGGAGGGAATTTCATTTGGAGTTCAGATTGTAAAAGGTTTGGGTTTTTTTACAGACAAGAAGGGCAGAATTTCCAGTTAAAGGTACCTGCCTCTGTAATACTGATGCTCTCTTAATTCTACCAAGAGCAGTCTCTTTCTTTTCCCCACCAAAGAGAACTTGATAGTCACTTGGTATCATTAACATCTCTACAAGACAGCCATAACTGCAAAATGATACAGAGAGAAAAGCAAAACATCTGTTCACTATGCCCTTTACTTCTGTCTCGGATACGTATCTTTCTAAAGACATGAACAACTATAATTTTATTATCTTTAATGTCTTCCTCATCTAATTTCATTCCACTGTCTGTCCCAGCTGAGGTGTACTGGGCAATAACGTTATAAACTCTTTTTAATCCTGCTGTTATTTCAGCCCACATTGATTTATTGTGGATCATTAGCTGTCAAGCGTCATATTTCTCATTCCACACCAAAACTTAATCTCTAGCTTCATCTATTATTCTGTTATTTCAGAATATAATCTGAATCTATTAAATTCTCTAGAATATGTGTTTTTATAATGTCTGCAACAACATCCCTATTTGTTTCATTTTTGATATACATTTCAATTTTCTGGTATTTTAATTAAAAAACCCCACTTTTAATATGCTTTTTTTCCATTAAGAACAACAACACTGGAACAGATTCTATTTCTGTAAGAAGTCACATAATATCATATATGGTGACTTACCTCAGAGTTTGACCTTAAATCAAAGAAACGCACCTATTCAGCATGTGGCAACACTGTTCTGAACATTAGGCCTGTGCCTAAGCTCCACTGAAGATGAAACATGGCTCATCTGAGATGGAGATGTTTCACAGCAGTCAAATATAGAAACTGTCAACACAAAACATTATGGTAGAGAAACTTCAGCGCATCTAAAATGATCAAAGTTGAATTAATCCATTCTGATGTTTTCTCATACCAAGAAAAAGATTTAAATACCGCAGACCACCTATAAAGACTTCAACTTAGTGTTTGTCACTGTTCTATAGGAAACAAGCCAGCATAACTTATAAAAGGTAAGACAGACAATAAAACTTTCTATAAACCAACATTTGCTATTATCTGGAGCAGCTGCAGCCGCCAGATTTCTAGAGAACACATGACAGACGATGTGAAATAGTGACTTTTACAAACAAAACACTATGAGGCACTACTATTACGTAAGGAAAAAAACAGCAAAAAAATATCCAATGATACTGAAGGACAGCAAAATTGAATAGATGGAATTAAAAACATTAACTCATGAAAAGGGGAAAACCCCCGACCACCATTATTCTGATCAATACCAGATATTACTGAGACCGACATCACACAAAACCGAATAGAATCATAGAATCTTAGAAGAGCTAGGGTTGGAAAGGACCTTAAGATCATCCAGTTCCAACCCCCCTGCCATGGGCAGGGACACCTCACACTAAACCATGTCACTCAGGGCTCTGTCCAACCTAGCCTTGAACACCACCAGGGATGGAGAAACTATGGAAAATGACAGTATCAGCATTTGACACAGCTGAAAACACTATAAATGCATATTGTCATTATACTGGTCCCAATCCAACTGGGCTGTGCATCAAGGAAAAAAAAATTCTTGTGTACACAAATTATTCTATAAAATCCGTCAGTTTTCATGTCTCATTTCTAAAGTTAGTTTTGCCCCTTGTGAGATTTAACTTCATGAATCTGATCAAATATGAAACTTTCTATGTAATTATTTGCAGTTCTAAAATCAGTAATTCACCAAGTTTTCCTCTTTTTGTTTGTGGCATCACAGATCCTATGCAGTACCCCCATAGCTCAGGGAAGTTAAAACAGTGAAACGAAGTCACGGCCTGATTCGATGTTATGGTGCCACCTTGTGATGCTGGATCAGAAGTGTCTCTAACATGTACACGGAGACAAAAATAAGCCCTAGGGGAAAAAGAAAGGAGACTGTTTCTATATGATCTGGAGAAACTGCAAGAGATTCCCACCCTGAGCCTGCTGGCAAAGAGGACCAGGTGGTTATTGACTAACAAAAGAGCATTCAGCATTTTAAGATTACATTAAAAGGGCATGAGAGAGCACAAAAAACTGCAGCAAAAACCCAACTGCTTTCCTCAATGCAGATCCAATTACAGAAATATGAGTTAATTCCACCAAACTCAGCATAGTTACTGCAAATTAATACAGAAGTAATGAAGATCAGGTTTCAGACTGCAGGCTGTTATAAGTCTCAGCTTATGGTATTCCTTTAAAACAATGATAAGCTAAACTGCATTAATAAATAACATAGTTGTTACTTGCTTTTTGACTTTTTGTTTCTTTCACTTTCACCAGCTCATTTTTGTCCCTAAATTGCTTCAAATATATGTAAGTTGGAGATAACACACACACACTCTTAGCTATTTTAAAAGAGGTTTTAGGTAATACTTTGTCTATTTTTGAAGGCAGATACAGAAATATCCATTCATATTCAAAACCTTTTCTGCAGTACAAA